CCGACGTCCTGCTTAAGGCCCGACGTCCAGTCCCTACGTCCTGCTGAAGACCCGACGTCCTGCTTAAAGCCCGACATTCAGACCCCGGTCTCCTGCAGACTACGGTCTCCGGCCGACTACGGTCTCCGGCCGACTACGGTCTCCTGCCGACTACGGTCTCCTGCCGACTATGGTCCTTCAGGCCAAACAAACCTGTATATGTAACTCTTACCATGTAATGCAATCTATATGATGTACATTTGCTACATCAATCCAAGGCCTTCTCCTAAGGAAGGGCCTCATTTGTAATCGACTACAAATACTAGTGGATTCATTCAAACCGGGCCAGGCCCCGTGGTTTTTCCCCCTTTTTCAGGGGTTTTCCACGTAAAAACTCTGGTGTCACTTATGAATGCTACATCCTCTCACTTATCTGATTGTGTGCTGGATCTTCGTACAACGCTAAGACGTTAAACTATATATTTCTCTACCGCCGCGAATATTCCAGAACGCAACACAACTGATTACATAGAACATCGAACCTTGATGAATAAATAAAATAAATAAACTAAGATATGCTAAGATTTAGTTTGGGGCAATTTTTTTATTATTTTCTGAAATAGTTTTTAATAAAAAAATTCTATTAAACTAAAAAAATTTTATACTAAAAAATTCCTTTGTAAAGAGATAAAAAAGTCTCAAATGAAACCTAAGCATATTACAGTTTATATTGTTCAGCCATTGCCTGGCTATTGAAAATGAGAGAATATGAACTTCAGTAAGCTTCAAACTTTCTACAAGATTTGAATAATTAACTAATAAAAAACAGTAATTAACGATCACTTGTAAGAAAATTTAGGAGCTACAAAGAAAGACAAATTACAAGCAAATTTAACAAATGGATAATAAAAAATCTCAGATTTCATTTTCTGTCCAAAAGAAGCTAGGCTGTGCCGCACCCGCTCAGATTTTGTATCTCATCGACACATGAGTTGATATGTCAAACCCAAAATAGCCTACTAGTTATGGGTGTCAATTTGCATCAACGAGTCAGATTATGATCGAACCCGATTTGGCCTGGGCATAAACAGCCTGAGCATATAGGGCTTGAACACCATTGGACTAATCGAGTGAGGAGGCCAGGCACCTAGGTCTGGCAAGTCGACTAGCAGAGGCGGGTCATGTTGTAGAAGCCTGGGGCGAATTCGCACTCATGTGGGCTAGGCGAATGCAGACGGTGTCTGGCGAGGTCGTAGGTGCGAATTACATGTGGTCCATGGTGACTGGGCTAGGCGGAGACGAGGGTCACAATGCGAGTTAGTCGAGTCAACCCGTGGGTTTTCGGATCAACTTGAACCCAACCTGTTTTTCATACGGGTCAAAAATTCAAACCTTGACCCAATCGATTATACAAACGGGTTGACCCGAACCCAAATTTTTTCGGGTCGGGTTCAGGTTGGGTTTTGGGTCATGTCAACTTTTGACACCCCTACTACTTACCCATCTCGGTCTACAATAGATCAACTTGGGAATACAGTGATTGGAAAGTACATTAAAAGTTCTTGAGTGTTAGTTGGAATCTGATTGTGTTGATCTACTGATTTGTACTGTTGACTTATAACTCAATTCCACCGGTCAAGCTATTTAATGGCTTATAGGGGGCCTCCCCCTACTTGGGGTTGAGTGGCCTTGCACCCAAATTTCTTTTTTTTTTTTTCTTTTATAGTTGTTCAACGCCACAAGGCTATATAATTAGAGCATTGTATACTTGTGCATTATAGTGTCATAGGATGCAGTGCGGCGACATTGTAGTCTTGAGAAAGTGCAAAGCATTGCAGCACTTCAAACCTCGATACTGCGCAGCAGCGAGTCTACCTGGGCAATTTTCTTTCTTTGTTTTTGATATTTTAACTTCAAGGGTTGCGTCCCTTCAAGTAATAGAGGTGTACTTCTTTGTTAGTTCTAAGGCAAAATGATGTGAAGAAGTGAAATAAGATAATGAGAGAGTAAGAGAGAATGAGATTTGTACAATTTCTCCTAATTTTCAAGTAATATGGTGTGGTGTGACTCTATGATTTTTTATCGATGTAGGATTTTTCTATGTTAAATCTTGATGTTCATCTCCAATATTTTCTTTTCTTTCTTGTTTCGTTGTGTGATTTACTTCCAACATTAAGAACTAAATGCCATACATTTAAACTTGTGTAGGGTTGTGCATTAGCAAGTTTGAACCGAAAAAATTGAATTGAATCGAATATATTTGACTAATTTTATTAGATTTCTTAAATAATCGTTTAATTTTGATTTAGGAGTAAAGGTTATTTTAATTTCGGTTAATAATAAAAAAAAGGTTAAACTGAAAACCAAATACAATGAGCAAATAATCAAATAATGAAAATTTATTATTATTATTCTATATTTTTACTCTGCCTATAATTTAATTTCATTTAATTGGCAAAATAAATCAGTGAACCAATCTAACTAAATTATAATCAAAGGCATTATCGTTTATTAGGATTTCAAAATTTAGTTAAATCAAAGTCGATTAGAATAAATCAAATTATATCCTAGTTCGGTTTGCTTTTGTTCTACCTCTTAGTTGGTCTGCCCTATTATACTTCTAACTTGATTCAGTGTAATCGATTTAATAAATTCCTCAATCAATTGATCAGAACCTTCGAATGCAAACCCTTAAACCTGTGATTTTTCTGCACATTTGTAATCAACCAATCTCAATTCATCAATCAGTTTAAATTAGAACATCGACAATGCAATCACTGAATCAAGTTCGTAAATGTAAATCTATATAGAAACAACAGATTCAAAGCAGAGAACTCTGTATTCTGTTCTCTGGAAATGATAAAAGAAGAAAAAATTACAAATCGAAACATAGTCGGATCAATTCACAAACCTAATGGTCTCAGAACAGGAACCGGCCGAGGGCGAAGCCGACGCCGGCAATCCCTAGACAGAGCGCAAGAGCTATGCACCAAGCGAAGTCGGCGGCTCCATCACCATCTTCCTTGGCGGCTTGCGAAAGCCTCTTATTGAGCGCGGAGACTTCGGACTCCAGCATCATCACCCAACGCCTGTGAGCTGAAATCCGCAGCGATTCATCTAAGAGCATGGAAGCCAATCGAGCGCTCTTTGCAGCGGCGAGTTCAACGCGCTCCTCGGCCTCCCTCGCCCTCGATTGCGAGAGGCGCAGGGCTCTTAGTACGCTAGGGGTTTCGTCGTCGAAGAGGAGAGGGGTGAAGAGTTGGAGCGGCGGAGGGAGATCGCAGTTGGTGAGGAGATGAGGGGAGCGATGGGAGAGGGTTAGGGGCATGAGAGGGTCGTCGGAGAAGTTGTTTTTAGGTTTAGGAGTGGGGAAATCCATGAGGAGGAGGAGGAGGAGGAAGTGGAAGAGATGGCGTTGGTTTTCTTGGGGAGAAAGAGAAGAATGGGAGATAGTGTGGGGGTTGGGGGGTTTGGTGAGGAGCAGTTGGAGGAAGCGTGCGGGAAGCCATTGCTTTTAGTTTGCCTTCCACGGGTTGCAAAGAATAAGGTAGCCGTGGAATAAAAATACAGAGATATACGCATATACTTTTTCTTAATCGGATGAAAGTAATAATATTTCTGAATTAAAGATTGCTTAATTTTTTATTTATATCAAAAATATTTTTTAAATTATTACTTTTTTTTTTTTACTTTGAAGATATATTTTATATTATTATTATTTTAATTTTCTTAACTTGATAAAAATATACAGATGTTTAAGGAGTACAAATTTGAGAATTATAAATATGAAATTAATTAGTGATTAAGTTATAAAATAAGAATGAAAATAAAAAAATGATTATAGTATTTTTTTTTTAATTTCATCAAAAATATCAAATATAAGCATTAGAGTAATATTTTAAATGTATGATCATATAAAATAAAAAAATTAATTAGAGTTGAGAACTCTTGTATAATCATTATTTAAAATATAGCAATATTTAATTTTTATCCAATAAAAACTCATATATTGTTAAGATACTTTTTTAAGGGATTTTTACATACATAATATTTAAAAATTTATTATTTACTCATCTAATACCTAAAATTAGCTATTTACACACCTACCACTTAAAACGTCTTTTACTTTCTAAAATACCACTAGGTCATCCTCTCCTTCAAAATCGACTCAATACTACGCTGCCGAAATGAAGTGGGCGCTGAAAAAGCTTGCCAGAACGCTAGCATGGGCAAGGATGTTGCCGCTACTGGTGTGGACGATGACATCAAGCCTATAACCCTCCTTGAAGAGCCGATCCCATATATCCCAAGTCGATTCCGATACTGTGCAATCACCAGCGAGCGGCTGGCGCTCCGGAGAGCATTCAGCCCCAAATAAGGTGGCGCCTTTGGCGAGTTCCATCTTTTTTTCCTCCATGCCTTTTTCTCTTCCTCTCCAAAATCAAACGCTTTATTTTTAACCAAATAAGAAGGAGAAGAAGGCAAGGACTCTAGCAGAAATAAAATCCTTTCTTTGAGCAAGGAGAAGAAAAAGAAGAAAGGAAAAAAAATGACAAATAACTACTTTGCATTGAAATGTGAATTATATTATTTTATAGATTAGGCGGCAGTTTTAATTTTGCATTACATAGCTTTTGACACGGGACGACGGGTTTTAAGCTAGATTTCTTAAACCACCATTGTCATACTTGACTGGAATAAGAAAAGAGCACCTGTTGAAGCTCTCTGGTTTTATCCTTCTTGAACATAAGAGGAAGATTTCAACGATGGATTTTGCTGTCGTCAAGGCTTTGCGCACAAAGAAGGATATCCGGTGGATTTTGACGGAGAGGGAGAGAGAGTGGTATTTTAGAAAGTAAAAGACATTTTAAGTGGTAGGTGTGTAAATAAGTAAATTTAGGTGTTATATGAGTTAATAAGAAACTTGTAAGTGTTCTGTATGCAAAAATCTCTTTTTTTAATTACTGGATATTTCTCAAATGCATATATTTTAATAAAACAATACCACGTAACCAAATAATACCACATTGATGCTCTAAATAGCTTTCATCCCAATCACCATGCCTTTGCAGTCATGATGAAAACAAGACCATGTATCTACTATCGAACAAGTCTCCCATCTTAGGAAAGAGTCGTATTTCCTTCTCATATGACTAGCATTATTTGTTAAGTGGCATGATCTTATAAGATGACTTTGGGCATCATCCATAAGAAAATCTCCACTATTTTTTTTAATTAAATTAAATCTATAAAAAATATTTACATTTAAAAAAAATAAAAGAATATTATTCTATTTTAAGTTTTTAACCATAAAAAATAAATCAAATGATTTGTGAGGCACTTGAATCCTGATGCTATTTGTCAACAGGCAACCGATACTTTGAAGATACATGAAACATGTTAGACCTTCTCACGCCACTAGTCCACATATAAAAACTCCGCCTCCACCTCCTCCTCCAACAGCCGCCGCAGAATTCCGGCCATCCAACCATCTACAGGATCTCCACCGCCTCCCCTCAATCGCTACGGCGCCTTCTCACCCAAACGACTTTCCTCCTCTCCTCAAGACATGCGCCTCCCTAAGCCTCCTTCCCGTCGGCCACATCCTCCATCAGCGCGCTGTCGTACTGGGCCTCACGGCCGAACCCTACCTTGCCACCTCCCTCCTCCACATGTACGCGGTAAACGGGCGCATCTCCGATGCCCACCGGGTGTTCGACCAAATGCCTATAAAAAACGTTGTTCCTTATTCGGCCCTCATCTCGGCGTATTGTCGGTCAGCTAATTTGAATATGGCCTTCTGTACTTATAACAAGATGTTGAACGACGGAATACGACCCAATTCAGTTACTTTGCTTGGATTAATCTCAGGGATCTCTGATTTATACCTTCTGCAATCCTTGCATGCTTTGGTGAGCCATTTTGGCTTCGAGAAAGATCTCATTATCATGAATTCTATGATGAATGTGTATTCGTTGTGCGGAAGAGCGGACTTTGCTCGAATGTTGTTCGATTCAATGCCATTCAAAGACTGTATTTCTTGGAATTCAATGATAGCAGGTTACTCCAGAAATGGAGAGGTAAAAAGTTCAATGGACCTGATACATAAAATGAGACTGGCAGGTTTCTTTCCAGATCAGCAAACATATGGGTCTTTGCTATCGTTATTCACAAACAATACCAGGTGTTCTGTTCAGCTGGGCTGTTTGATTCAGGCCTTAGTCATAACATCTGGGTTTGTATCAGATTTCCATCTTCTTACCTCCCTTGTAAGCCTGTATCTGAAATTTGGTAAATTGGATTATGCATTCAAGCTTTTCGATCTATCTTCGGAGAAGGATGTCGTGCTGTGGACTGCAATGATCTCTGGTCTCGCTCATAACGATCGAGCTGATGAAGCTCTGTTAGTGTTTCATAAGATGATTTCTACTGGACTGACACCATTGAATACAACCATAGCAAGTGCAGTGTCAGCTTCTGCACAGCTCGGAATGTTCAGAATTGGTGCTTCTATCCATGGCTTCATCGTAAGGCAGAAATTGGCTTTAGATACAGCTGCTGAGAACTCTCTCATAACCCTGTACATGAAATGCAGCCACATGAGACAGGGCCAACAGTTGTTCGAGTTGATGCAGAACAGAGACTTGGTCTCTTGGAATGCAGTTGTTTCAGGTTTTGCTCATAATGGCCATCTTGAGGAAGCATTTTATTTCTTCATCAGAATGATTTCAGTAATGCAAACACCAGATACAATCACTATTGTATCCCTCCTCCAAAGCTGTGCATCATTGGGGGCACTCCACCAAGGGAGGTCAATTCATAACTTCATGATCAGGCATGAGCTGAACTGTTCCCTTTCCATGGAGACTTCTTTGGTTGACATGTATTCCAAATGTGGTGATATTAAAACGGCACAGAAATGCTTCAATCGAATGCTGGAGCAGGATATGGTATCATGGAGCGTGATCATTGCAGGTTATGGAAGTCATGGAATGGGGGATGTTGCTCTTAGGATGTACTCCAGGTTTCTCAGTACTGAAATGAAGCCAAATAATGTTATGTTCCTTTCTGTACTATCAGCTTGCAGTCACTCTGGGCTTGTTTCTGAAGGCCTGGCCATCTTCAATTCCATGAAAGAAGAGTTTGGAATACAGCCATGGATTGAGCATTGCGGTTGCGTTGTCGATCTCCTTTGCAGAGCTGGAAATGTGGAAGAAGCTTTCAGATTCTTTCGAAGGATGTCGCTGATGGCTAATGCTGATGTTTTGGGGATCATTTTGGATGCTTGCAGGGCAAGTGGTGGTGCTGATCTAGCAGAGGAGGTTGTGAAAGAGATGATTAAGTTGAAGCCAGAGTCTTCTGGGAGTTATCTGCAGTTGGCACATAACTATGCTGCAATGAATTGCTGGGATGGATTTGGGCAGACATTGACAAGAATGAGGACATTGGGATTGAAGAAGATACCAGGGTGGAGCTTTGTGGAGGTGAATGGGAGCAAAAACACATTCTTCGCTTATGATGCTTCACACCCGCAGTGGGATGATATTCTTTTGCTGTTAAAAACCTTTCATTATGAGATGAAAGATATCAAACCATTTATTTGAAATTTAAAATACTGTCATAAGCATGTAGAAATTCTCTCCAGACATCTGTACTTCTCTGAGTTCAAACAATATCCCTCTTAATCTTCAATTTCCTGCATTGATGGTATTCGGATAAGATGAATGGCCACTGTGAGAATTATAACTTCTCTTAGATCGGCCAATTCTGATAAGGATTTTGCTTTTACGCTATCTGAAGGATCAAATATATTTCTCTGAGTGATGCTTTTTGAAGAATTGGGATGTGGAAACTAGATTGAGTTGAATTTTGGTTTGGTAGTTTGAAATCTAGAGAACATATTTTGAATCACATAACATAATCAAACACAAATAAAATTAATTGAAAATTTTACAAGTCTACTTTGTCCTTATTCTGACTGATCCGGCGCTCTAGATAAAACAAATATAGCCTCTGCATTTGAAATTTTTTTCCTCTTGCCACTACAAGGGGCTAATGATTGAATTGAAGGATTCAATTGACAGCACCTAGTTTTTAGTAACCAGCACCACAAATAAGAAATACTTATTCCATTTTTTAACAGGGTTGATGAGGGCCCAGTTCTTATAACCAATGGATGTCAAGATGTCATGCATAAGAAGTCTCCAAGGCCCACCTATAACTGAACAGGTGACCCGCTTACCTCATAACATTGAGAGAACTAGAAAATGCCTCAAATAATGGCATAGCAATTCAAAATGATCCACGCATGAACAATACCCCTACATGTTAAGAACTTCGCCATCACCTCTTTGAATGAAAGTTATAGCCCATAACAAAATTAGTCAACAAAGAGGCAAACTCTGCCAGGCTTGGGGAGCATTATGAGCCTCTCTCACCAACTTTGGTTTTCCAATAACCAGTTATCGCTACAAACTCAAACTTTAATGCACTACTATCAAAGATAGACAAAGAAAGGACCTTATGCTCGAACATGTCAAGATGACTTTCATATTAAATGCTTTGGAGATGGTTGCAGTGGAAATGGATGCCATGATCCTAAAAATTAGGAGATTCGAGGGACAAAGTACACAAATTAAAAGCACAAGGGCTGAAGTGATTTCCTCTATAATTCAATACTTTCAAGACCTGTACAACCCCATTCCTCCTTGCAGTTTGGCCTTGGACTCCTTCCCTATTGGTACTGCTTTACCTGATGAATATGCTACCTCTATTACTTCATATGTGACGGATGAGGATATAAAATCTGCTGTTTTTATGGGTTCTTCAACTTCTGCTCCTGGGCCAGACGGCTTTTATTTTCATTTTTATAAATTTGGCTGGCACATTCTTGGCCCTACTGTTTGTAGGGCTATTAGATCCTTTTTTCTTAAAGAGTTCCTTCCTAAAGGGGTCAAATCTACTGCCTTAGCCCTTATCCCTAAACATAAAAACGCCGCCAACATTTCTGAGTACAGACCTATTGCTTTGTGTAATGTCTTGTATAAAATTGTTGCTAAGATTATGGCTGCAAGGTTAAAACCGGTTATGAGCTTGATTGTTATGGATAACCAGGCGGGGTTTGTGAAAGCTAGAGTGTCTACATATAATATTTTGCTTGCTAGTGACATACTCTATTATGCTGGTAAAAGAGGTGGAGCAAATATTTTTTGTGCTAAATTAGATATTAAGAAAGCTTTTGATTCAGTTTCCCGTCAGTTTTTATTGGCTAGGTTAACTCAGAAAGGGTTTCCTAGTCTCTTTGTCAGTTGGATAAAGGTCTGCATCTCAGATGTTAATTTCTCCATTGTTTTAAACGGTGCTCTTGATGGATATTTTTCCTCTACTGCTGGGTTGAGGCAGGGTTGTCCTCTTAGTCCTTACCTTTTTTGTCTTGTCATGGATGCTTTTTCTAATCTTTTGGAAGGGAGAGGGTTCAAAGGTATATCCAATGACAATTTCTCCCTCACTCATTTGCTTTATACAGATGACGTTTTGATCTTTGGGGAGGCTACTCTTGGGAGCTGTCAAATTCTTGTATCTGCTCTTAGGGAGTTTTCAAACTCCTCGGGTCTCTATATAAATTATGATAAAAGCTCTATTATGTTCCCTAAGCATCAGAGGAATCAGCAAGAGTTATGTCAAGCGCTTTCCATTCATTCCATTGATAACAAAATTACATATCTTGGTATTCCTCTATCCTTTTACAGGCTCAATATTGCTGATTATCTCCCTTTGGTAGACAATTTAAACAGGAAACTCAATGGGTGAAAGGCTAATTTACTGTCTTTTGCTGGGAGACTTCAGTATCTTAAATTTACTATTCAAAATACTATTGCATATTGGATTCGGGGCTCAATATTACCTAAATCTGTGTACAAAGTTTTTAAAAAAGTTAGCTCCAGATTTCTGTTTTTTGGCGATGTCCATTCTTCTAAGAAACTTCATATGGTTTCTTGGGACAAAATTTGTTTACCTAAAATCAAAGGGGGTTTGGGCATACCTTCCATATTTGCTTTGCAATATGCTTTTAATTGTTCTGTCATCACCAGGATGTATAATGGCACTTCTCCTCTTTCCACCTGGCTTTTATCCAAATACAGCTCTCCATGGAAGCCGCCTCTGTTTTCTGCTTCTAAACTTTGGAAATCTATATGCAGTACTGCTGTTCATGCCAAACATTGTTTTCAGTTTACTATCTTTCATAGTTCTCCTATTTCCTTTAAATGGGGCCATTGGTGTTTTAATTCTACATTAGGGGATTATATAGGGGAGGGTGCCACTTTTATTATGCCGGATATCATGCTTTCTGAGCTTATTTCTGGAGTTTGCTGGGAGCTATCTGGGGTGCTTCCTACTCTGTTGCATCAGGTAGTGGAAAGTTTGAATATTTCTGAAGGTTTTGGGCCTTGCTTGCTTTGGAATAACAGCAATATTTTTAAGTTTAAATATTACCTTGCTGAGTTCCACTCAGATCTACCAGACTGTAATTGGTTCCAACTGGTTTGGCATAAAAAGCATATTCTTAAACATTCGGTTTTTGTTTGACTTGCTTTAGTGGGGGGCTTAAAGACGGCTGATGCTCTACTTATTAGGCACATTCATGTTCCTGCTAGGTGTAGCTTACGTGACTTACACGAGGAATCTGTTACTCATCTTTTTTTTGAATGTTCCTACTACTCTATTTTAAAAGGTCTTATTCCTGGGATGGATACTTTTCTTTTAAGGCCCTCGATTATGCAAACTTTTGACTGGATTAATGGTGAATTTAGTAGGAATTCTGAGGTCTTGAAGTTTTATAAGTTGGCGGTTTGTTGTATTATCTATTACATCTGGAAAGAAAGGAATAATAGAAGGTTTGGTGGGAATTTTCAATGCTTTACTACAGTGCTGAATTATATTAAACGTAATATGTTTGAGAAGATGTTAGGCGGGCCCCTCCAATCCTTACTTACTCTAGGCGGGCCCCACATGGAGTTAATTCAAGGGTTGGAGGGAAAATTTGAATGGAAAGGGGGGGAAATTTGAATAGAAGGGCTGTTTAGGGATTTTGTATGGGGATGAGAGTTAAAGAGGGGGAAAGGGGGGAATTAGGTCCGGATCTTGAATTAGAAGGAAAAGTTTGAGATCTCATTGTGTGCTTGGGCTCTAGGGTTTGCTAGAGACTTGTGGAGAGTTGTTCTTCCTCTCGAATCGAAGGACGTTGTATCTTTCTTTGTTTTCTTGCATCTACTAGTGGAAACCTTGTTTCTTTTCCTTATTTTTCTCTGTTTGGGTGCATTTCCTGCTGCGGAGCTGCTGTAAAACTGCTGGGACAGCAGTTTTGCTCACTGTTTTGGGCTGATTTTGACTAGGGTTGCTTGCGAACTCAAGTATTACCTTAGGGTTACTTGCGAACTCAAGTATTTCCTATCAGAAGATTATGAAATGGAAAAGTGCAATTGCTTTGCTGGATAAAATGTAAGACGCTGGAATCTCTCGGGTCCCTTTGTCCCTTTATTTTGCCTGCTAAGCTTAGACTGGACGATGATGATGCTCCCAATTGCATGCCCCTTGGACGGTCTTCGGGCAACCAGGGTTCCTTTATTTTCACGTTCTCTACTGTTTTCCTGAGTCCAGTCTTTTTGGCTTGGGAGCTAGTTTTGTTTCTCTAATTCTGCAGGCTCTGGGTTTTGGAGTTTGGATCTTCTCACTACTGTGCAATGAGGTCTCATTCCAATGCATTCCCTACTGTTCGGTCAGCTGTTGCAGTCTTCAAGCTTATTTATCTGCTACTTACCACATTTTTGGTTCTCTAATTGTATTTTGTTTGTAATGGGTGGTATAGTTGAGATTTCTTATTTCCTTTGTCCTACATAAGTTTTTGTTTTTGCTTATGTTGGGGTGTTTTTACTTGTAATCTTTTCTTTTCATAGTAATATATGGGCTTAGGCCCCAAATTTTCCCAAAAAAAAAAAAGCACAAGGGATCCCTTCCTCTTTTTATGAAAAGAGATTTGATGGAAGAGTCCTATCATGCACAAAAGCGTGATGCCAACTCATTGTTGTCAAATCCACTTTGAGAATTGAAGGTCATCATATCAAGTGTAGTACCATCTGTAAATTATATCATCATTAAATCTTCTAGTATAACAATGCAGGGCATTGATTTGACAACCCTCATTATACTAATCAAATTGTTCTATCTTCATTAACCTAATATATTTACAAATCGGCGACTCCTGTCACAAGCTATCTCCTAAATGCTTTAAAGATGATACTCAACACTTACGCATATTCTCCATAAACAAATAAAAACCCTCCCTGTAGTCTCCGTCAATACCATCAACAATAGTTGACAGGTAGTAACTATCATCTAGATGGTTGACAATATTATCTTTTTGGTGTACTTATAATATGGGTAGAGTAATTAACAACATGTGCTACATAAAAGATGAAGGTCTGGGATGCAACCTGAGAGTGGAATCTTCAAGCATGCATTCTGATCTAGAATAAAACTTGGTCACAACCCTACATTTACTCTAAAAAAAGCTGCTTCAATGTGAAAATGTACCTAAACAACTAAATTAGTTCTCATAAATCTCCTTTGAAATTTAGAATGAATGTTTTGTTAATTAATTAATAATAAAGACACGAGGCATGCACTAGACTCCTCCTAAGGGGTTCAGTTAGAAACTCCTGAGCGTATTTTTTTTTTCACAATTCTCTTACAGCTTAACAAGAAAATTCAAATAATTAAACTCATGATTTCTTATTAAACAAAAATTACTTATTTGTCACAACAAAACTAATTTCTTGCTATGCCAAATCAAGAATACCATCAATTTAGAATAGAATTTCTCCTCAAGGATTTGATTCGCTTGATGCCTCAAAAGGCAGCAAATCATCAGAAGATTTTCCTTCAGATTTATCCGCTTGTGGTTTTCCAAGAACCAGGCGTACCTTCCTTCCCATTAATCTCTGAAAAAACAAGAATAAAAGCAATACGTTTAGTCCATATCTACATAAAAAGAGCATTGGCGCAATACTTTGAATGCAAATCAGAAAAATCAAAGATATTTGTCCACCTTCTCATTATGCGCAGTTATTGCTGCCTCTGCTTCTTCTTCTGTAGAGTAGGAGACAAATCCATAACCGGCTGATCTCCTCGGGTTGCTTTGAAAAATGACTTCAGCAGATATCAGTTTCCCAGTGTTGCCAAAAAGTTCTCTCAGATCTCGAGACCTTACCCTCCAAGCCAAGTTCCCAACAAATACATTAAATGTTGCTGTTGAAGCTGTTGTTTCCTGATCGGACTTTTTCTTCAAAGACCTTGCAAACCCCACCTTTATGACTCGGCCATTCAAGTCCTAGACATGGAGTTCTTGTGTAAAATTAGGGAGGGATAAAGTATATTAGATTTCATCATAAAGTCCCTTTCTCCAGCTATGATAGCAAGCGTTTTGAAAGTCTGTATCCATGGAATAGTGTCGGTGTGAGTTGGTGTGTATGACTGTATCTATTGGTGTGTATGACTGTATCTATGAGTGGGAGAAAGAGGAGCAAGAGAGAAAGGAAGACATAATTCAGCATTTTTTATTGGAGAAATCTACATATTATGAAAAGCATAGGCTTAAAATTACTCAAATAAGAATCTTGATTACTATTGTGCGAGGAAAATTGCCTGGGGACATGCTTAGGTGAACATGTATGAGAGATTTTAGGGTTTAGAGATTAGTTTTCAGAATGAGAATGGGAGAGAGTGAGGGTTGGGGTGAGAAACATCAGCTTTACTTTGTTTCAAGAAAGAAATCAATACAAAATTCTTTCAAAGCCTAACTTAAAAAATACTCACATAAGACTTCAGATTACTGAGAGCCAAAATAGCCTCTTCCTCAGAAGCCATGGTGATGAATGCCAATCCCCTGTTTCTGCTATTATCATACATTGAAAGCTGGAAAAACAAATGCAATAAATTTTATTTACATAAATTACCAGAGGAAACATAAACAAAGCAAGACATATAAAAAACTGACATTAAACAAAAGTAGCCCTCAAGGAATGGAGCTAACGCAGCAAATAAGGGGATAAAATTAACTGAAAAGTAGTTTAAATTGATAAATTCAACTTTTTCCTGTTGGCAGTTTAAAAAGTTAAACAAAATTCAGGTCTAGTAGCAATAACACCCCTAGAAAGCATACTACCTATAAAGCCACCACATAAATTGATCTTCAAGTTCATGCATGGATATGATTTGTAGAAGCATGGGCATATACATGCTCTTCATGAAGTGGGCTTCTCAAGGAAGAAAGAACAACTTCAATACATACTCTTTCTAAGAACTGAAAACATTTTCAATTTCACTTGCTCAACATACCAGTCACCTAAGTTGCTACACTTTGACTCCGTACTCTAGGTTTTTAACAATACCTGGAGGTTAACAACTTTCCATTATTTTTTTATCACACAGAGAAAGACTCAAAGTTTTATTGAAAAGATAGCAGGATCATTTTATCACATATTAGTTCAGCCTGAATAAGATAAAGAACTTTATAAAGCAATTCATGATGTCGGAAACAAACTGTTTACGTTGGCCATCCCTTCAATTTCAGGGTTAATCTCCACTCTTTCTTAAGGACCAAATTCCTCCAACAAGGAGCGTTTTGGTAGCCCTTTGGATTTCAACTTGTATGGCAGTTCATTTCTTTTCAAAGCTCAACAGAAAGGATTTACTTTGGCAATATTTTTTTCTGTGCCGCTTCCCGCTCGGCAGCAATTCTCAAGGAATTTTATCGAATTCAGCCAACATCTAATTTTACAAGTTCTTAAGCAAAAGAAAAATATGGAAACAGTTTATAGCATTAACCAGGCTTGGATTCGTCACAGTAGTTTGGCACTTTCGTAGAAAAAATGGGGGACAATAACAAAATACCTAACAGATAGATGTGCCATTAGAAAACCCGACAAAGGTGTAGGAAGCAGACAAAATCAAACGAATCGTTTTTTGCCAGAAGATTAGCAGAAACAAAGAACCCAATAATTCAAATCTACTGGATATAGCATCCAATAGAAAGGACTTCATCAATCCAAATTACGGGGAGGGGACATCGAGAAGCAAACCTCAACATCGATCACAGTCCCGTGCCTTTCAAAGAGGGTCTTGATCTCCTCGGCGGTGCAAGTCCAGCGTATGTTCTGTGCAATTAGCCTCCTACTAGGCTCCGCCGGCTTCTCTTCAGATTCCTCTGCTCCTTGTTCAGATACCACCGAAGCCAAGCTTCCTTCGGGTGAAGAAGAAGCGATACGAGTGCATTGCTGCCGGATAAGTGCTGCCTTGTTTCGCTGTTTAAAGAAGGGAAGCAAATAGGAGATAGAGGAGAAAGGGAAGGGAGGATTCGGTGGATAGGATTTGGAAGAGGGAAGAAAAAGGAGGGTTGGAGGAGAGAGAGGGTAATGACGGAGGAGAGGAAGCGCCATAGCTTGTGCTCAGAATAGCCGTATGCTGGAACTCGAACTTTGCTTTAATCGTTGTGATTTGTAATCCCGGATCAGTTTGGGCAAGTTCGGGCTAGCCCGACTCCCGACCTGGCCCTGTCCATAGCTCCAATTAGGGCTTCATTTGCGGCACGTTTTTTTATTATTTTTTAAAATATTTAGTTAAAAAAATTAATTAAAAAAAATTTGTATTTAAAAACAGTTTTAAGAACCAGTAAAAAATCATTCCAACCGTATCAAATCAAATTTCGCGTATGCAACAACATGAACTACGGCATGAATGAAAAATGCAATTCGAGCTGAAGAGGACACGATTAAGAGTTCGTGGAGATGGATACAACAGGTCTTGCTAGAGATTGATGCAATGTTGACCTTGTATTAAGATTGTTATGGTGAATGTCTTTGAATGGGATATATGTAGCTCAAGTGATGTTGTTGTGCAGGGTTGGATGCGGCGACAACTATAATGCTTGGGAGTTTGTAGTGTAGGACTTAGATGAGGATGGCAATGATGTAAGTATAATTCCAATGTAGTTCTTAATACATTACAAAAAATCAAATCAATTTTATTAGATATAAATATAGATGCAAATTGAAGTGTGACATTTTCAAAATTTAGAGGATAATTTAAAGCTAATTTTTGAAACGGGGATGGAAATGGGGTGACCTTTGCCTCTGAGTCTTTGCATCCACAACGCCAATGGCGCACGTGTGTCAACTTGCGACGCTTGCGATTTGTGTTATGTAACCCCTCCAATGCTTCGATGACTGTAAGCTTAATCGGTTTGTCGATTTCACACCCATATAGAAAATTTCAAAAAATTATGAAATTTTGATTCCTATAGAGCATGGGAAATCATATAGTGACATTTTCACTATATTACATCCTCTAGAGACGTTTAAAAAATAAAATTACGGGTAGAATCTTAAGAGAAAGAGAGCCACAAAGCATGTGAGATGAAGATCGGAGAATAAGTGATCTTAGAGAAGTTCAAGATATTGTAAATCAATACAAGAAGCAAAGGATTGGCCTGTAACATAAAACCTAACATTAATATAGTAAGAAAGATGATTTGAAGTAGCTGGATCTAATGCATTATATTTGAATGGGCAATATCAAGTTAAATGATGCTCCTTGTCTATAATATTTTATTTGTTGCTTAACACAAGATAATTTGGCTTGGTCTCGATTATTGATCTTGAATTGAATTTTCCTTATTCATCTCATCATTGTTGTAGTACATGCTCATCATTGAGAGTAACACAATTATTATTAATAATTACATGTTTACACATGATATATCATCGAAAATTTATCTTGATCTTGCACGAATCTTGATGCAAAATCAAGTTGGAAACTTTCGAGATTAAAATTGGGACCATCCGAACTTTGATTTCAGCAAACTTATAGTCAAATTGAACGTCTTAGAAGTACAAACCCAACGACACCAAATTCAACCCAATATGAGCGCCAATGAGTCCAAATCAAGGACCCGAAGCACTATTGGAAGGTTCAAACCACAATTTGGATTACCAATTGGTTTCCAAACATTACGTGCTTATAGTTAAATTGAGCAGCTCGATGAGACAAAACCAATGAGCCCAATTTCGTCGAATTCCGACATCATTAAGACCTTCAAATGTCCGACAAATAGTCCATGATCAAGAGATTCAGTATCGGCAGTCCATCCAAATCACTCTTCATTTGCCCTTGATCTCCCACCTATTTATGGGCCATTCCACTCTATGAATATACAAATAGACCCCTCATTCCTCTTGAAAAATTGTCTCGAAGCAAGAGAGAGATCGGAGATCACTCTTGCATCCTCACTTTTCCTGGACCACCACCTGACGCCAGAACTTCTGTCGGACCACCACCTAAGGCCCGGACTTCCGTCGTCCCACCACCTTAGGCCCGGACTTTTGCTGGAACACCACATGAGGCCGGGACTTTCGCCAGACCACCACATGAGGCCCGGACTTTAGCCAGACCACCACTTAAGGCCCGAACTTCCGCAGAACCACAACCTCAGACCCGAACTTCTGCCGAACCACCAACTGAGGCCCAAACTTCCGCCAGATCACCACCTGACGCCCGAACTTCCGCCATACCACCACCTGACGTCCGGACTTCTGCCGGACCACCACATGACACCTGGACTTTGCCTGACCAACACCTGAGGCCCGGACTTCTACCGGACCACATTATCACTTGAGGTCATGACTTCTATTGGGCCACCACTTGATGCCCAAAGTTGTACCAGAATACCGCCCTACTACAATAGTCTTTCTGACCCCGATCTCCAACCAACTACGATCTTTTGGACCCTTGTATCCTGTCAACTATGGTCCTTCCGACCTTCGTCGCCTACTACGGTCCTTCCGACCTACATCATCAGACAACAATCTTTCTGACCTCTATCGCCTACTACGGTCCTTTCGACCTACATCGCCAGACAACGGTCTTTCTGACCTTGGTCATCTGCATACTCTGGTCCTTTCAACCTACATAGCCGGACAATAGTCTTTCTGATCCCAATCTCCTGCTTACTACGGTCTTTTCGACCTTTATCCTATCAACTACGGTCATGTCGACCAAACAAACATGTCTATGTTGATTATTGTAACTCCCATCATGTAATGCGTTCTATATGATGTACATTTGTGACATCAAGTCAAGGTCTTCTCCCTAAGAAGGGCCTCATTTGTAATCGACTGCAAATACTAGTGGATTCATTCAAATTCGGCCAAGCCCCGTGATTTTTTCCTCTTTTTAGAGGTTTCAATATAAAAACTCTAGTGTCTCTTATGAACGCTACACTCTCTCTCGTATCTGCTTGTGTGCTGGATCTTCATATAACGTTAAGACGCTAAACTTTATATTTCTCTACCACCGTGAATACTCCAGGACGCAACAACACTAAACAGTTTGATCAGGATTATATGATCTAGATTTCATGGCCAATACTTGCATTTAACATATTTAAAGTATTCATGATTAATATTAATTTAAATGAATGAAATCATACTTCAACTTGAAATATCCATTCAAAATTCAGTGCAAATAAAAAAAATATGATTCAACATAAATTTTTTTTTTCTAAAATCCAAACTCTCATTTCATAAAATTAAATTTTAATTCAATCATCAAACACAATTCTCAGAATACTAGGACTAATTTAATGATTAAAATGAATTTTCTTAAATTTAATATTATAAATAAAAATAATTTTATGATAGAAACTTTATAACATACTTTGATTACATTAA